CCAGAGTGATACCCAAAGCCATTTGTGAGTATAACCTATTCTTTAGTCACTCTGGTGCAAATTTAAATTTCATTATCTCCTTTACTATTACTATTATTAATAACGTCATTATTTCTTTATTTTCATTGCCGCCATCTGAACGGTTTACATTTTCCTTTTTTTCTTTGTTAACCCAACGTTGAATTGCCTCGACGGTCTTTTTCCGTGGCATTGTTTTCCGTAGATAATAGTTTTAATCGTAGAAACAGCTAGACCGTTTCCTTTACCGAGTAATTCGCCGATTTTAATAGCTATTTTGTGAAAGAAAAATTCCGAGTCCAATTCGAGCCTATTGTCAAATAAGATTTTAAAGTTCTTCCACAAGTTTTCGATTTCTGGTGGATAGTCACGTTGGCCAATTTGTCTGGTAGACTTAGGTTTTTTCTTCGACTCCATTAAATTGATTAATTCATCAATTTTCTGATTTATGATATGCAGCTGATCTTTGTGAATTTTGTAATAAAAGGAATATCCAAGGATAATTCCGATCAACAATAAATTCGCTTGTGAGAGCAAACATTTTAAAATAATAAAGTTTGTTGGATGGATTTTTGTAAAGCAGTTCGCGAAGCTTTTTCGTAAACTAGCTCAATTTCTGTCGTTTTTTATAACGATCTTTTTGAGTCACGATATTCTAATTAATGCGTAATCGATATACGCGAATTTCTGCGCATCATCATACAAGAAACATGAGCACAGCATATGACGCCAACTACGCAAAGAAGGAGTATGAAGAGGCGAAGGGGAAGCTGGAGACGTTCGAGGAGGACGATGAGGGCGGGAAGTGGCTAAAGGCGTTAAAGAGAAAGGTGCGCACGAACAGGCTCAGCGACGACAAAAGATACGAGAGGGAGAGACTAGAGCAGGAAGAAAAAGAGTTGAAGGCGAACGTGAATTATTGGAAAGAAGAAATGAAGAGGCTGACGACCTCTCAGCCAGGTAATGACTTTGTGACTCGGGCGTTGGGGACAGAGTAGTGTGTATGTAGGGTAGAATCGGGACATAGGTTAACCTCTTATTTTTTCTTTCATATTGACATCTTGTTCTTCATAGATCAAGAAGGTGATTATATATGGGGTGCCAGAAATTGCAGCTACTTATCTTTTAACAACTACAAACGTTATTAATTGGTCCCCCTTGAAAACATGATATAATTTTTTGACAAATATTTTTCTTATTGCTCCTTGATATTAAGAAAGCACCACACTCAAGCGTCGGATTGCGTACGTTGAACAAGAGCTAGAACGTCAGAAGAAATCTCGGAATAACAATTCTCACATTGGTACACGAATTCTGGAAGACCCTGAAACGCTTGATGAAGAAGCAGTTTTCGATGGAATACCTTGGCCGGTTATACCTCAATTCACGATTCCGATAATGATGAAAACCGTCACACAAATGAAATAAAGAAGTTTCTAGAATTTCTCATTCCATTAACTGAATTCGACTTTCACGACACTCGCAACTCTCCAATGTGTGACCCTAATGCAAAGATCGACTTCATTATTGTGCGCAAGAATGGGTACCGTTTATGGGCAGAATTGGTAGCAGTGATAGAAGCAAAAGGAGACATTCGAAACACAACAAGTCATAAAGACGCAGTGGGTCAGATCTGTGATAGACACATGGAAATTTTGAAGCAGCAACGTTTAAGAAAGGTTGTTTTCGGTATTGTTCTGGATTGCCGATTTGTAGAAATTATAAAGACAGTTCGAAGTAGTGCTCCAGCCTTTTTACATTACAGGACTGGTCTCTTTTCGCTATTTGCTCCTGATGGAACATCAAATGAGAGAGGATATGCACTTTTGATCAGACTGTTGAGATCGTCTTCAGTCCATTTAGGTTTTACACCATTTGTATTTCCAAACCCACCTTATTTGTTTACAAAGGATGGACGAGATTTGAAGATAAATAAGGCAATAATGTTAAAGGAAGGGTACGGTAATTATCCTTCTATCTGCCTCGGATTTGAACAAAGGGTAGAACGGCCCGCAATGAGACTGTGGAATATGTTATTAAGCTTGGTGGGAATTTAGATCTCCTACATAATAAACAAGAAATTTTGAGCATCTTGATGCATCCATATATCATTGAATTACGTGGTGTTGCTAATTTCGACTTGGCAACAGGTTCTTCTTATGCACTTCTGTTATATCCACGTGGTATTCTTATAACTTCAGCATTAGATATTTAAATGTAATGTTGGTATTTCCTTTATCCGACGTGCAACACTTTATTCCGTCACAATGACTATAAGGTATTTTTTTTATCCGCTCATAAAGCTTGTTGTAATTATTTGACGTATCAAGTAATTGCAAATTGACAGTGTGTGATTACTTTTTGTTTACTCTGGGACCACTCTCACTGGTACTGGTTATGTTGAAGCCTCATAATCATATGAGTTTTTTTACAAGCTGATGGTTGCTCACATTTTTGTCCTTTTATGGTGAGTCATTTTTCGTCAAGATTGCCAATTGATTTGTAGCAAAAACTCTGAAAAATTGATAGAAGCAAAAATGTATGTCCTTACAGAGGAAGAGTTCAACACAAACAAACTTACTATTATCCGATAGTATGTTTCATCCCCAGCTGGGATGATCAAGTGAATCATAATTATTTCTTATATTAGTGAATTCCATCCTGATCCTGTCCACAGTGCTGAATAGACATGTGCCGTAATCCAGTTGTTGTGGTTTTCATATAATAAGATGCTTTTACGATGATGATGTATGATTAATTTTTATAACTGGATGATTGAAAATAAAACTTTACAATCGAGGTAAAAATGTTGAAATATTATATTCCCCGCGTTGAAGCTTAATGATTTCCATTTTTCTTGGATAGTTACTATAAAAGCTCTACATTAGACTTAAAATTTGCTCTTCGGATAACTGATGGCGAAATAATTCCGGTACGTTTGTGTTTCCATACTGAATTTGGTTAACTCACTGGTTTGAAAACACTCAATTTCGCATCTATTGAGTGATCCGATGGACAATGTGTTAAATAATTGGTCGTATTTTCTCTCACAGATCGCGCGTCACCATGTTTACATAGGCTGAGATTAACATTCGCTCAATTTCACACTTAATACTCTTCTGACTGTGATCTGCAAGACATTCATGAATCATGAGCTAAGGTAAAGCCCTGAAAACTGTGAAATTTATTATCGGCTGAACGTTATTTTGCAGTTATTTTGACCTCTTTCTACACTTGTAAAATAATCTCGGTAATTTACGCAAAATACATCCGAGTGGGAAAAAAAAAGGACTTTCTTTTACGGCTGTTCGTACAAGGCGGAACATATTAAGAGCGATGAGCGGAATGACACAAATTGTTTTTAAAACTGTCATTCCAGTTGCCAATGCTTTTTAGATTTACAATATTTACTTGTACAAATTATGGTGCGACTAATAGTTGATGGCAATCTAGGCGAATTTCTGTAAAGAATACGTGAGAGACCCATTATTATGATATTGAGCAGCAAAACTTGAGTCAATTTTGGTGAGCCTTGTACGTTCTTTGTATTGTCATATTCGTGTATTGATCGTTAACGATGATGTGTATTCAATATAGATAACAATATAGCATTTTATACGGCACACGTTAAACTTGAAAAGCCAAGAGGCTCTGTTATTGCCAAAACTTTTATCCGTAAAGATTGCATGCCAAAATTCTAGGCTGAATTATACCGAAACCTTTCGTCGCAGGGAGTATAAATCAGACTGTTTGTGTGTCACTAGTGTTCCTGATCAACCTTTTTTATTCTGTACATCAATTGGCAGCATCCAATGAATACGGATGGTAAAACTTTATCCATGTGTTTATATGAATGTTATCTTTGTCATCCATGACTTTTTTCGAGTTTCATAACATTTACCTACAAATATCTTCTCAATTAATTCGATACGGTTAATCGGAATGGGAGTTCGGACCGTTCGCCATGTACTGTTTGTTTTGATTTTGTAACATTGTTGATAATATCGAATATTAGTAATTTCGTTGGAAAAGATGTCTTGCCAAACGACGGGTATTACTTTGTACGTTGGAAAAATTATCGGTCTAGAGTAAGATACGAATATTATCTTATCTCAATACTCGATTATTGTTATTATTGTCAATTAGTGTTGTTTTACATTTTAAAGTCATGGCGTTCAAATAGGGAAAGCTTATGTTACACTGTATTATCAGATAACAAACAATCTCTTTGTGCTTTGTGTGAGTAACAAGTCAATACTATAATATTATTATGGGTAAAACCTGATAATAGTAGCGCCACAAACATGTCAGGGGTCTTCTGCCGTCAATCAGAAATTAAATATGCTGTTGTTGACAAGACAATTTTATCCTCCGTAATCGCTAAATATGTCGAACACTTTTACTAATACTTTGTCACAGTCATCCCTGAGGGAGAATCAAAACCTGAAATACGAGATGAAATATGGGCAGATGAATAAAACACTTTTAAATTAAATTTCATTGAATGATGCATGAATAGGGGAAGTGTTAACCAACAACTCTTTGTTGTTAATGAGTCTAGAATTGCGTCACAAGAACTAACCAGTAGATTGTATATAGTGTATATTGTTTATTCGGAAAGAAAGCTACCAGATATGAATATAACCTTAAAATTTCATAAAATTGCACAAAGTATATCGAATCATCTGGAAGCAGAAAATTATGCATTACCATAAAGATCAAAAGTCGAACGATTGGCTTACCGGAAAGCTCTAATACTTTACGGGAGTAGACAATAGACTTCCCAAAACAAAGATCTCCTGCATGGTTTTTGCGGACACAAAACTCTCGTAAAACTTAATTATCCTTCTCTCTGCATTTCCCCCCAAACTTTATCCAATGCGAACACCGTTATAACTCAATGAGAAATGACAAACACGTTACGTATTGTTTAACAAAATAGGCATGTAAAATAAGGTAAATCTATGCAGAAACAGTGCCAATAGCATTTCGAAATCACGTCTGAAAAAGACGCGTGTGTCAATCATGTCCGAATTTACAAACAAGCGCAGTTATAGGAATGCAAGGTGAACGGATAATGAACAAAGGTCTGCCATGCAGGGAAGAAAAGTATTAGTAAACTATTGTCTCACTTTTAAGATTTTTCATGCCAACCTGAAACATTATGAAAAAAAAAGTGTTCTAGAACGAAAGCTGTGAATGAGGCAAGAGATGTAAACAAATGTCATTGATCCAGTTTGAAACGCTTCAAGATAAACATCAACGGTTACCTTCAAGGACAAGCAACAAGCTTGAATGAACCGACGAACATGAAATGATACTAGCGATGATAAAAGTAAAGACCGATGGATTGCGATGCTATTATCGTCAAACCTATTACTATCCGATCGCCATTCCATAAACTAAACTAACCATATGTGTCACATAATTCTGACACACTCTTTCCCTCCAAGTTCATTCATTTTCACACTTGACTAATGGTCTTTGAGAACTCAACGTCTCAATGAGCTATATACTATATACGTGCTGATAATATCTTGTAATGTGACAAATTCATTATACTATTTGCGTTCTAAATGCCGAATTTTTAAAGTGTGTCCACGTACAATACCAAAAAAGGCCAATCAGTGTGGCGTTCAGTCTTTGTACGTCCGAACCCCCCATCATCACTGTGTCTTTGTTTTGCCTCCACGCATAATAGTAACAAATATAATAATAACAACAGGTGATATTGTTGCTAAAGTAATTTCCAAGGGTTCCCTAAAACGAGTAACGTAGCACAGGGGGAGTACATTTCCACCGAATTTGCTTCGTCCGTTCTATAAATGGTATAAGTGCTCTCTTCCTAATTAATCCTTTTGCATATCTTCATTCAATTTCTACTAAGAGACAAATAAATTTCACCACCAATAAACGACCACCGAGACACAAATAACAAGCACTGGATCGCTCCAAAGCATGCACAGTATCACGGAGAAATGACCAATCGAGCAATAGACGACAAAGAAAGGAAAAGAAAGTCTGGTAGGTTATTCCGAGTTCGAAATTTATGTTCTGCTTCCACTTGCTTTCACGTTAATTGCATCTTCCGCATTTGGACCTATCCGACTTACTCCAACCATCACATTATCATCCCACTATTTTATCCCCCCATAAACAATCTCTTCATTAATCTATATCTTTTTGACAATAACTTTTACAATTCAACCCTCACCTCCACACCCACCCACCCCCCTTTTTTTTTCTATTTCTCTAACCAACTCTACCGTACCGTTTCATCAACCATTTTATGACTTGCTCCATTAACAATTGTTCAATTCATTCTTGCAAATGGCAAGCCCTAATCTACAATCAATAGCTGATCTAACAACAACTACACACATAACAACCGGGGATATCCCTCCCCCGCTTGTTGGCGCCTCGACTACTACCGTCGGAACCGAACTCTACTTGTTCGCTGGACGGCTGGTATCCTCTCGTCGAATGACCAATGACTTGTATGTATTAGATTTGACCACTTTTGTATGGAGAAAGATTGAAAGTAAAGAAGACGAAACACCCAAAGCACGATATTTTCATTCAGCAAATCAATACAAAAAGGCGATTATATTCTTTGGCGGAATGGGATATTCGAAAACTGCTAATGACGGGTTATGCGTGTTGGACGATATTAACGTCTTTGACACTGAAACGCAATCTTGGCAAAGCCCAGAAGTAGTCCCCTCTGCGATACTGCCAAAACCGAGGTATGCACACTTGGCAGCAATCGCCGGTGACAAGTTGGTGGTTGTTGGTGGACAGGATATGACTAATGTTTATATTGAGGAAATTAATGTATATGATATTGAAGAAAGGACTTGGACCTCATCACGTTCGTTCGAGAAACACTGCGGAGCGTATAGATCGATTGCCATTAGCTGTGCCAACCATACAAACCTGCCATCGTTTGGTAACAATCTGGTGGTGGATGCAATGCCGCCGTCGCTTGCACATGATGATCACTCTGTCTTTCCCGATCCATACGTGTCTCGGCCGTTGAAAAGAACCGGTTCACAGCAATCCATACAGTCTAGCAACAACAGTGTAATGTCGAATTCCACATATGGAAGTTGGAATAGTAGCGTGACGTCCGGTCCGGGTGGAGTAAAGTTGATGAGGAGTAGATCCATCAAGCGAAACCAGTCGATAAGCGGAGCTTATTTCCGACTATCATACACAACTGCCGTAACAGCTGAAAATCCCAATCCAATATATCTATATTCTAATTATAATTTCACCAACGTCAAGAGAGAGCTACAAGTCATTGCTCCGCCAACCACGGCTAATTATCAGATCATGGATCATTCGGCTAACATGTCTGGTCCGTTTCTTCCGCCCGGTCTTCGATTCCCAACCGGCGGTATTCTCGGTCATCACATCATAATATCCGGTACTTATCTCACTGACGGCGGTCAAACGTTCAGTATATGGGCATTGAATTTAGCTAATTTAATATGGACGCGCATTGATACGGGGTCCTGCTTTATGCACGGGTCCTGGAATCGTGGCGTAATGTGTGAAGCAATGAACAAGTATGCGGTTTTAGGACACCGAGATAGGTCGCTCGTCGATGACTATAACCATCGACAGACTAATTATGATCATGTGACTTTGGTCGATCTGGAGGCGTTTGGAATATATCAGCCTCCGCCTGCCACGATGACACCAATAGCGCAGGAACTAGGACTGGCTCTACTGAACGAGCCGAATCTTGCCGACTATGAGGTTGTGACTTTGGATAATAATCGGATCCCGGCCAACTCGCATATCTTGTCACAAAGATGGCCTCATTTCCAAGTACTAGTTGAACAGCAGATTGATCGAGTCCCCGAATTGAGATATGATGGCGAAAATAATCAAGAGAAAACGGTATCCATGTACAGGCACAGAGTGATCGCGTTTCCTGAACCATATCCAGTCACTCTCGCATTCTTGCAGTATCTATATACCGACAATTTGCTCACAAATCAACAGCAGCAACCTCATATACTGGCACAGTTGTTGTTATTGGCGGACATGTATCAACTCGAGAGATTGAAAAAGCTGACTGCACACGCGCTTCATCAGGCGTTAAGCATGACGACTGCTGCGTTGATATACGAGACTGCAGCATTGTCAAAAGAGACTGGTTTACAGATACGTGCGTTAAAGATGATGGTGGCGGCCAAAAAGATACTTCAACAACAACAGCAGCAACAACCACAATCGCCATCGCAGCCGCAATTACAACCGCAATCTCCACAACAAGCGCTACCTCCTCAACCAACGCGGCAACCCACACCAACCAATGCTCTTGTATCTCCCGGGACAAGATCAAGGGGGAATACTTTTACATCAGAGCAAGATCCATCACAGTTTGCGAATACGAAACCTGCTGTGAATAACTCTGAAACGAGCTTCTTGTATTATGACACGTTCGTGCCTCGTGTGGCTACACCGTCTAATGGACCACAAGTAACCGGAAGAGCAAGATCTTCATCGTCGGTATCTGCATTTGGTGGTTCCTCCTCATCGCTTAGAGGAGTCTTGCCGGCAATCAGAGATTCACGAGCTAGCATTCTCGCCGAGGAATCGCAGTATAAATTGAGATCAACAAAGTCTACTAATTCATTAAAGTCTATAAAACCGAACAGAAATATCTTTGCTATTAGTAATGGATAGATAATGAGCGAACGCGGAACGGAGGAAAATATTTAATTATTATGTTTGGATGAAAGGGAGGTTTGAATTTTAAATAAAACATTACTGTAGAACAACATAGTATTGATTTATTTCTTGATTTTTATTTTATTATGTCTCTTTTCTCTGATTATGATGACTAACTATATTAATAGATATGTATTTGTTTATTCTATCAAATGTAATAAGAACAGAAATCATACTCAGGGTGTAAATTAGTAAAACTAGATATTACTCTATGAAATTGAATATAGGGTTTGGTTCGGTGTGGTGTGGTGTGGTGAGGTGAGGTGTGGTTTGGTGTGGTTGGATAGCGGGAAAATGGGAATTTTTTGGTTTCTGCTGCCATAAACTGTTAGAAGATTGATTCACAAATAATAAATATTCACCGGGGGCGAGGCTAAACAACACGCTTATGGCGGAGAGCAAACCATCAAAATGCCTTACGCTTAAATGATTCGCGTTGTCTAGAATATTGTAACCTTGCTGAGGGGATCAAACTGTCAAATTACCATGATTCTAAAAATCTTGAACCCCTATTTTTTGCGTCTTGGCAAGTGACGAACAATTCTCTGAAATAGAACGATATAGCAAACAAATGGGATTATCGTCATGTCATTAGTAATCTTTCTTTAGTGTGGTGTGAACACAAAATCTCCTTATTATTATGGAATAATACCTTTTAATGGAAACACCAATGATCACCATTTTAGGATACACAGAAATAACGTGAATATGCACAGTCATAAAACCGGCATTGTGTCACTTAAGTAAGACATCATCGATGCAAGCCTATCGTATGTGCCCTTATGTGGGACGCATTAAGGCGTCCTAAGTATTATTAATTTAAATTTAAAGTTTTTTTATGCTTTATTGGTTCCAATGGAAAATTATGAAACATGCACACATAAAGACCAATCTTTATGCAAGCTCGACTTAATATGTCGTTTGATTGATTTGTCATTAGTATTATTGCTGTTATTATTATTATTGTTATTGCTATTACTGTTGTTGTCGTCGTCGTCATCATCGTCATCATCGTCATCATCGGCATCGTTAGTCGTTGTTGTTATCATGATCATCGTCGTCGTCGTCAGTCGTTATTGTCATCATAATCATTATCGTCGTCGTTGTCTCGTTGTCGTTATCATCGTCGTTCTTTCTTTCATCCCTAATATATGGACTTTGGTGAAACCCCCGATTGACAATACTTATGATCAACAGATTGCATCAATTGTTATTTGTTGACATGTTTAGAAACGATCTCCAGTCCGAAAATTTAAAATTAAATGATCTACGTCAATTATTTCCAAACCCAAAACGTCGGAAACGGGGCATTTGTAAATTTTCTTCCGGCACTTATGATTGGACCGTTGATCAAAGATGATAACGTAACACCGAAAGTCCAGATTTCAATTCTGTTGATCCCTGATTGGCGGATTAAAAATCATATGATGGAATGGGAGCTCATCCCACACACGACACGTTTTATTAAAAAATAAAAGGTTACGTTGCGCAAAAGGGTTCTAATGGCTTTTAGAAATATATATTTTTTTGTAAAGCATAACACTTGAAATCTTGGAGTGAAAAGAAAAACAACGGAACAGGAAACGCGAAATTTGTCCTCAATTCTCACGGATTTTTGATTGGTTGATACAATTTTGCCGTCGAACGGAACGGAACAGGATTGAACAGGCCTATTATTATTACAGCTTATTATTCTGCACATGTTTGAATAAACATCTGTTGCCGTAGCGGAAATAATTTGAATTTTTTGTCCGGGAGACTTTATCGGCATTGTACTCGTACTCACATTAAATTGCCAAAGTTTATCGTATATAGTACGAAAAAGAGCAATTGTTTAAAAATGTTGAATAACACAACATTTTTTAGTGTGCTGCAAATAAAGCAACTTGTAAACATATTACATAGATAGCATTGTGATGCAACGACAGTTTTAAATCAATAAGCAAATATTAACAGCAACTTGCGAGTAAATTAAAAAAGGAACATAAAAGACTTTCCGCCAATGCCTCACTGATCAATTGCTGTAGATACTACGTAATGAGACTGTTTGAGCATTTTTTTGTAAACACAGTTTTATTGTCAAAGTCAGAGGTTTTACATCTCTTATATTGTTTTATTCAAATATTTTGTTAAAAAAAAAAAGGATT